AACATTTTAGTCACGGGGCGTGGTGGCTCACACTTGTAATCCCAGCACTTTGGGAGGCTGAGGTCAGGAGGATCACCTGAGGTCAGGAGGACAAGACCAGCCTGACCAACGTGGAGAAACCCCGCCTCTACTAAAAATACAAAATTAGCTGGGCGTGGTGGTGCATGCCTGTAAACCTAGCTCCTCGGGAGGCTGAGGCAGGAGAATCACTTGAACCCGGGAGGTGGAGGTTCCTGTGAGCGGAGATCACGCCATTACACTCCAGCCTGGGCAACAAGAGCAAAACTCCGTCTCAAAAAAAGAAAAAAATTTTGTCTTGATTTTCTTTTTTTTTTCTGGAGACAGAGTCCCAGTCTCTCACTCTGTCGCCCAGGCTGGAGTGCAGTGGCGTGATCTCAGCTCACAGCAACCTCCACCTCCCGGGTTCAAGCGATTCTCCTGCCTCGGCCTCCTGAGTAGCTGGGATTACAGGCGCCTGCCACTGCGCCTGGCTAATTTTTGTATTTTTAGTAGAGACAGGGTTTCACCATCTTGGCCAGGCTGGTCTTGAGCTCCTGACCTCATGATCCACCTTCCTTGGCTTCCCAAAGTAATGGGATTACAAGCGTGAGCCACCGCGCCTGGCCTGTCTTGATTTTCTAAGTCATACATGCTCGTCATTCACAGAGGGAACTGGGAATCAAAAATGAGGAGGTGGGAGGAGAGCATCTGGGCTGACTGTGCTCTGTCTGCCCTGGCCTCTGGCCTGGGCAGAGGGGGCACCCTGTGGCTGCTTTAAACCTCCCTGTGAAAGCCAAGTGTGGTGGCTCATGCCTATATTGTCAGCACTTTGGGATGCCAAGAAAGGAGGATTGCTTGAGATCAGGAGTTCAAGACCAGCCTGGGCAACATAGTGAGACCCCATCTTTACAAAAATTAAAAAATTATTCAGGTGTGGTGGCACATGCTTGTCGTCCCAGTTACTTGAGAGGCTGAGGTGGCAGGATTGCTTGAGTCCAGGAGTTCAAGGTTACAGTGAGCTGATCTTGCACAACTGTACTCTAGCCTGAATGACAGGGTGAGACCCTGTTCAAAAAAAAAAAAAGAAAAAAAAGTGCAGGTGTGGTGGCTCATACCTGTAATCCCAGCACTTTGAGAGGCTAGTGGGGGAGGCTCGCTTGAGCCCAGGAGTTCAAGACCAGCCTGGAAAATGTAGCAAGCGCCTGCCTCTACAAAATAGTAATAAATAAATGGAAATAAAACAATAAACCTTCCTGTGCCAGGCCCAAAGTCCTGTGGGGACACAAAGGTTGATCAGATGTGAATCCTGCCCTGTGGCCAGACTGACGGTTCTGAGGACAGGTGAGAGGTCACTTTTCAGAAATGTGTGCATAAGAACTAGCTGAGAAGACCGACAGGTGAAGACGTGTTGGGCTGTGATAAAACCCACAGACCTGACACCTGCTGGCGCCATCCAAAGGCCCGAGGGCCGCCTGTTCTGGAGCTAAGGTGTGGGGCACAGCCTTTCCCAGGCCTACTCCAGAGGCGCTCGGAGCACGCCCAGGCCGAAGGGCACTGGACCACAGCAAGCATCTACCCACAAGCCCTCACCATGCATCCTCTGCCTTCTGCTTTTCTCTCACCGCACCCCTGCACCTTGCCATCAGAAACCTTCCTGTGTGGCTGGGCTCAGGGGCTCAGTAATCTAGCATGTTCAGAGGCTGAGGTGGGAGGATCACTTGAACCCAGGATTTTGAGACCAACTTGGGCGACGCAGAGAGACTCCATCTCTACAAGAATGAAAATATTAGCGGGGTGTGGTGGCTTGTGCTTGTAGTCCCAGCTACTTGGAAGCCTGAGGCAGGAGGATGGCTTGAGGCTGGAGTTCGATGCTGCAGTGAGCTATGATCATGCTATGATCATGCCACTGCACTCCAACCTGGGTGACAAAATGAGACCCTGTTTCTAAAGAAAAAGAAAAGAGGCCGGGCACAGTGGCTCATGCCTGTAATCCCAGAACTTTTGGGAGACTGAGGCAGGTGGATTACTTGAGTCTAGGAGTTCAAGACCAGCCTGGATGGCCAGCCGCGGTGGCTCACACCTGTAATCCAGCACTTTGGGAGGCCGAGGTGGGTGGATCACTTGAAGTCAGGAGTTCGAGACCGGCCTGACCAACATGGTGAAACCCTGTCTCTAAAAAAATACAAAATTAGCTGAGCGTGGTGACGCATGCCTGTAATCCCGGCAACTCGGGAGGCTGAGGCAGGAGAATCGCTTGAAACTGGGAGGCAAAGGTTGCAGTGAGCTGAGATCA